TTTAAGAAAACCCAAAACATTAAGGGTTAGATACACCTGCAAGTAAATACTATATCTATCAATTGCAGTGAACCCAATTTTTCAATAGCTCCATTCATCATTTTTTTATTTCAAACTGGCAATCTTGATTGTCCATCACCTGGTAAATGGGTCTGTGAAGTAGGGTCTAGCTGTATAAGTGGCACTTTTCTCTGCAGTGAAAAGAAATACACAGGAGAATTAGCCATGTATAATGCTGGGTGCCTGTTATGCTGTAGGTGGCCCGTCAGCGTGACAGGTACACAAAGCAAAAGGAGAAGTATGGAAAGAGGTTCTGGGTTCTGGACAGCACTACTAAATAGGGCACACAGGAATGTGGAGAGCAGCATACCTGTTCTGTATCTTGCTTGACATGGCCTAACTCAACTGTGTCCATGTTTTTTTAATATTTATTTTAACTTTGACATATGTATGTATGTGTCTGCTGAGGCCAGAAGAGGCTGTCAGATCCTGTCAGTTGCAGGCAGTTGTGATCTGTCTGATTTGAATGCTGGCAACTGAACTCTAGACCATGGCCAGAGCAGCAAGCATTCTTAACCACTGAGCCAGTATTGTCTTGAACTCCCTCTCTTGTCTCCCAAATGCTGGAATTAGAAGTGTGAGCTGTGATGCTTAGCATTATGCAAAATATAAAATGCCCATGTAAAGCTGTACCTCAATAAACCTAACTTAAATTTTTGAGGCAATAGATCAGAAAAGTTTTACTTTGCATGTATGCTGTCTTGACATGGTTCACAAAATCTAAACCTGAAGGAATTCAGCAGAGTCTTTTACATATCCTAAGATTCTTTATAGAAGCCCCATTGTCTCCTGTCTCTTTGGTTTCCCTTTCTGTCTTGTTACCTGTGGTCAGCTGCGGTATGGAAACATTAGGAAAATTCTGGATATGAACAACTCATGACAGCATGATGGACTGTTGTACTGCCCCACCCGGAAACTGAATGGTCCTTTTGTCTGGCATGTCCTCGCACCTGCTGCCCACCATGGGTCACTCAGTGCCACTAACTGCCTTGATGATCAGACTGTAGTGCTGATGTTTAACCAACCCTCCTTTTAGTAATACCAGTGTCAGCATATGGCTGGGGTGCTGCCAGTTTTGATCAGGCAAAGGAAGGCTATAATGCAGAGGTACAAGTGCCATGAGCCCTGAGACTTGGACATACTCACAGAACTGTGAGGAGCTGTTGAATAACTGTCATCTTATTCATCTCTTACTGCGCTTAGTGTATAAATTTAATACAGGAGGACGTGTATAGCTGGCCTCTGGCTTACGGTGGTTTTTGATGGGTTTGTGGGGCTATTAAATTCACTTTCTACTTTTGGAGGATTCATTGTAAGTCAAGGATTGACTGACTGTATAGAACCACCCACACAGGCTTCAGTCCTGACCGAGCATTCAGGCATCCTTTGGGAGACTTGGAATATTCCCAGTGATAAAGTTAAGGATCCACGGGTTTGCAGGGAAGACCTACTGTGTACCTGGACCAGATCCTAAAGAGACAGGATCAGGGTTTAGAAGGTAGCTTGTGAGGGGCTGCTGCTGTGACATGGTTCTTTTCTTGGAAAGCATTCTGAGGATGGAGCTGAAGGTGTATGTCAGTGCGGCTTGGGAACAACTGGGCAACCTTTAGTCAGTTGCCATGCCGCGATTTCTTTCTTGCTGGCTGTCAAGGAGGCTTCTTGAACATTGGCGGAGCATGGGCCTTGCCTTGTTTTCATTAAATTGTAAACCCTCGTTTCCATTTAATCCTGAAAGGAGTTGTGGTCATCCCTTGTGCTAGTGGGGCATGGCTGTTACAGGAGCAGCCTCGGGAAATACTAGAGTCTCTGCCTCTTGACCGGCCTGTTCCCACACGCTCAGTTATGTGGTGCCAAGGACAATTCATGCACACTGAGCGAGCAACCTTCCAAGCGAGCCTCATCCCCAGCCTTGTGTGTCCTCCTGAAGTAGAATTCAGTTTTACATGTTTTCCTAGCCTCATAGGTTGCTGGCTCTGTGAAAATGGACTCAGCAAGACTGTTTCTCACCTTCTACCCCCTGAGGGCGTCCCCACCGACATTTCTTTATTAAGTGTTGTCTTTGATGTAAACGCACCGGTGTAATGAGGGACGTAGGAAGATCCAGTGTCCCTATCCCTGTGCTGTGTAGCTGTGCTGTCATGTGGACTTCCATCCTGAGTCTGTTATTTGACAGAGTTGTCTTTTAGAAAGTAGTCTTGTGTCTGAACTCTGAGTTGATCTGAAATCTAGGGGAGTTAGGTCTTTGGCTTTTTAACTACTGTTATTGAAACAACTATTTGGGGATTCTGTGCTTAAAGCTTTATTCTGCAGTGGATATTTGTTGTCTCTTATCTTTGGCTACATAAGTGCAGTAGGGATTACTAATTGTTTGCTCCATGTTATCAACGCTATGGTACACACTTATCCCAGAACTCAGGAAAGTGAGGCAGGAGAACCGTGTGTTTGAGACCAGTTTAGACTACATGGCAAGAGCTTGCTCAAGAAAGTTATGAGGAAAAGGAAAGCCCTTGGAGATGTCTCAGTTGCTTTTCTGGTACTGTGACAAAACTCCATGACCAAGTCAGTTTATAAAAGAAAGCATTTAACTAGGCTTATGATTTCAGGTTGTTAGAGTCCGTGATAGCAGGAGGCAGGGTCAGCTGAGAGCTCATGTCATTATCCATAATAAGGGCCAGAAAAAGGCACACTGGGAATGGCACTTGAAACCTCAGAGCCCACCCCAATGATAGCCATGTCTTCTAATCCTTACCAAACAGTTTCACCAGTGGTGAACCAAGTATTCAACCAATTATTCCAAACGGCCTGTGGAGGCCATTCTCTTTCAGACTACACAGGAGTTTGTCTCAGAGGCAAATGCTTATTACTTTATTCTCTCTTTTTCCATAAAATACTGATACTTTTAGTGTGAACATGGAGATGAGAATTCTCTCCATCTTTGTTTAGGTTCAGTTCTTCTGAACACTTATGAAACCTTTTTACTTTCTTTAAAAATCTGGGCATGACAATGAACATTTTAAACCCTAGCACTTGGGAGGCTAAAACAGGAGGATCACCATGAGTTTAGGGTCAGCCTGACCTACACAGCTTATTTCATAAACAAAGCAATCCTGTCTCCCACTGTGCTGAAGATAAGCGGAGTGAATGTCCCAGTGTTTCCACAATCCTTTACAAGGAAGGGACCATTGTGACATTAGTTCACTATTGGGGGAGGGGCTTTATTAGCTGAGTATCTGCCTGGGGCCTCGAAGAGACAGGGTGCCAGCCCTACTTTGGTTCTATAGAGCTAGATTCTCACCAGTTCAATGGGTTTGATGCTTACACCAGATGATTAAGTTTAAAAAGTATTTTCCATCGTTTGTGCTGTCAGTAGTAATGTCTCCCACATGAGAACTGACTCTAACCTGACTTAATGAAGGCTGAGCCAAATTTGGTTCCATTCTGGAGAATGACAGCCCCGAGAGTTTAATTTCCTTGTGATACAGTACTGTTTGGTTTTGGACTTCTTGATGTGTGCCATGCCCAGAACTTTCTTTTAAAGCTAAACTTGCAGTTTGCTTCAAGGGTCCTGCACGGAGGGATGTCTGCCTGGCACAGCTGTGTCCCTAGCCAGAGTGGGAAGCTTTTTTGTGTGTAGTATAGGGGTTTAACTAAGGCCTCATGCACTGGACAAACACTCGACCACTGAGCTATAGCCCCCCGCCCAGAAACTTTTAAATATGAAAAGACTTACTTTTACCAGTAGTTTAAAAGTTTTTTTTTTTTTTTTTAAGGTTTATTTATTTTGTATACATTTTTGTGCTTGGATGCTGGAAGAGGGCAGCAGATCTCATGGTAGATGGTTGTGAGCCACCATGTGGCTGCTAGGAATTAAACTCAGGATCTTTGGAAGAGCAGCCAGTGCTCAGAACCTCTCCAGCTCTCCAGCCCTTAAAAGTATTTTTATCAAATATGGTAGCTCTTATGTAAACACTCTCTCATGCATATTAAAAGGCAGTCCACTGGAAATGCCCTTCAAAGTTTTTTGTCCCCAAGCTAACCATGTGCATCATACAAAACTAGGGTTTTCTAGAAAATTTCTTTTATAGAATGAATAGTTACTTAGTTATTGAAGAGCAAAGATTTTAAATGTTTAAAATCAGCCAGTGATTTAACATTGAAAAAGGTAAAATTTTCCCATTTACAACAAATCAAGTGATGTTTTTACTTGGTAGTTATTGAAATAGTTGGTGTTTTCGTATAATGTCTACTTTTAAAATCAGTTGTTTTCTTGAGAATATATTCTGTAACAAATACCTGGATATTTGGGAGAGATAAAAAATATAAGTATTTATGGGGGTGAGAAGTGGATGACCCACGACTGCAGTTTCGATTTTTATCTAAATGTGTATGAGTGTCTTGTCGAGCAGTATGTCTGTGTATCCTGTGCATGCAGTGCCACAGAGGCTGGAAGAGGGTGGCAGATCCCCTGGAACGGGAGTTACAGGCAGTTGTGAGCCATTCTGTGGATGCTGGGAATTGAATCCTGATCCTTTTAACTGCTCAGTAGTTCTTAACCACTGAGCCATCCCTTCAGCCCTGAAACTGTATTTTTCAAAGAACATTGTAGTTTTGCTAGTTTTTACGCTGTTTTGGGGCCGCTGTAGCTCAGTGGTAGAGCAATTCCTTAACAGGCCCGTGTCTCAGCATGTATCACCAGTGCTGCAGAATACCTTGATCCAGGCATAGGGGCGCACATCTTTTAATCGCATTGCTTGGGGGGCAGAGGCAGGCGGATGGATTTCTGTGAGCTTGAGGCCAGCCTGGTCTGTAGAGTGAGTTCCAGGAAAGTCAGAGCTACATAGTGAGACCCTGTCTCTGGAAAATAATAAACAAATACATAAGTAAATCAGGTGATTTTTGCCTCCATCGTCTTAAGGGGCCCTTTCTTCTCTCCTGCACAGCAAATGAAGAAGCATCCCTGCCGCCAGTGTGACAAGTCATTCAGCTCCTCCCACAGTCTGTGCCGCCACAATCGCATCAAGCACAAAGGCATCAGGAAAGTTTACGCCTGCTCGTAAGTCGCTGTGTCTGCTGTGGACCCACAGGAAGGGATTGTGGCCCAGAAAGCCTCTCGGGTTGTGCCGTTTACTTTCGATTCCTCCTCTGCTCTGCTCTCTTATCTGTACATCTTGCCTGTATCCCACTTCAGTGTAGTCACACGTAAAGCTGGGGAGTGGCACTCCTCACACATGCCCACACTTCGTTATGTCACCAAGCGGGGCGTGTTTCTTTTAGAGCGTGGATGAGACTCCCCTCACCCAATGAGTGGACCGTGCGGCCATGTTGATTTGGGGATGCTTTACTTAGCAGAAATCTAAGAAGGGAACCCATTTATACACTTAGCTCCAGCTGGCTTACTAATACCCAAAAACCTTGTGAGGGAGCCAACAAGATGCTTTAGTAAGTCAGAGTGCTTGCTTCATAGGCCTGAAAATGCCAAGTTTAATCCCCATGGCCCACTTAAGAAGAGAACTGACTTCTCAGGGCTGTCCCGGCCCTACACACATACCGTGCTTTGCATAAGCACTGTGCACACACAGATAGGAGGACGAACACACACACACACACACACACACACACACACACACACTCAGAGGAAAAGAGAACACACCTTTCATGCTTGAGCATTTGCTGTAAGGCTGGTTCTTGCTACCACCTCACAGATGGTCTCTAATGTGAAGTCATCAGCATGTGGGGACTGTCATTAAGAAATCCCCAGATCTGGGGCTGGAGAGATGGCTCCATGGTTAAGAGCACCGTCTGCTCCTTCAAAGGACCCAGGTTCAATTCCCAGCATCCACATAGCAGCTCAGGAGTGTTAACACCAATTCCAAGGGATCTCACACCTTCACACTAATGCACATAAAATTAAATAATAAATCATTAAAAATAATCCCCAGATCCCTTTTCAAGGTAACAGAGATGTGGTTGTAAAGACAGGAGATGCTATCACCCTTCACAATGCAGCAGGGTTTATGTTTGTTTGGTTTTTTTAAAGACAGGTTCTCACTCTTTACCTAAGTTGGTCTTGAACTCATAATCCTTCTGCCCCCTCTTCCTACGTTTAGAATTACAGGCATGTACCAGCAGACTGGAATGTTTCAGTGCTGTTCCTGAGGTCTGACATAGAATATCTATAGTCACTACAGTCATTAACCTGTTTAAACATGTTTTTGGACTGTTTTAGAAAAATAGTGAATTAAAGCCTTTCTAGGAAATCACTTTTGTAGCATACAAAACTGCAGTAACTTACCTCGCTAATGAATGAATAAACATATCGAGGTACAAGCACAGGTTGTATTTGTGCTTTGAAGACTCTAGGCTAACATTCTGTCTTGACATTCAGAAGGGGCCATCTGCAGCCCGAGGCACACCTCATGTAAATTCCAAGGGCTGCTCTGAGTAGGTGTAAAGAAAACTCAGAAGATTCGATAGTCCCCAGTTTCCTTTTTTTTTTTTTTTTTTTAAAAGATTGAGGCCATCTAGAATTACAATTAAATAATGCTTAGGCAAACATAGACAAATACTCCACCTGAACCACAGTCAGCTGAGCAAGGGCTGGAGAGATGGTGCAGCAGCTAAGAGCGCATGCTCTCTCCCTCTGCCACCTGTAACTCCAGCTCCAGGCTGTACCCGTTACATGTGCACATACACAGGAGGGTTTTTTTGTTTTGTTTTGTTTTGTTTTTTTCAACAGCATTTTAAAAAGCCTAGGAGTAGGACCTTTTCACAATAGGGAGTGGAAGCCACAGCAGCCTGTTTACTTCATTTGGAGGCCCCAGTGTTGGTTCTGCCTATCTGAGCCTCTCGCACGCGCTGCCATCCACACCCCCCTGCAGTGAGCAGTGGCCCTCGGCAGCTATAGTTCCCCTCTCTGTCTTGTGCTCACAGACACTGCCCAGACTCCCGGCGGACCTTCACAAAGCGGCTGCTGTTGGAGAAGCACATACAGCTGATGCATGGGATCAAGGATCCTGACGTCAAAGAACTGACTGACACCACCAATGAGGAGGAGGAGGAGGAGGAGGAGGACGACGTGGAGGTAAAGGAAGACGCCAAGGTCAGACATCTCAGCTCTGTTCCTTTGCGGTCCCCAGACCAGCGTGTGTGCCCTGTTCATTCTCATCGACATTTTGTGGAGGTCAAGGACTACAGCAATCTCCTTGCAGCTCTTCCCTGCTCCCAGCTGCTCCCCAAAAGTGGCCTTTCCAAAGTAGCTCTTCATCTGACTCATGAAATTGTACCTTGACTTAGGAAAGTCATCTCTCTGTTAAAGAAATGTATTAAGCCAGGTGCTGTTCACTGGCTGCGGCCACAGTGGCAGGTGGGAAAAGGAACTCCTTCCTTCTCTTTGGAACAGTTGAGATCAGATCCCATGCCCATGCCATGTTCTTCTCTGTCTGGGTAGTGAGCCTCAGTCAGCTGACAGTGTGTGGAGGAGCCTCATGCACAAGGCACTGAGTGCTCTGTTTGTTGTTGGAGCAGTTTTAGCGCTGGCTTTGGTGTCATGGTTAACCCAGAAGAGGCTAACACCGTTTCTCAGGGCACACATTAGCAGTTAATCATTGAGCATGCGCCTCATGGGATAGTCAGGAGGGTGTGGCATTAGGATGGGTCTTCCCCACAGGAAGTTCAGTGTATGCAGAGGTAGCCGCAGGTGTAGGCCACCAGAGCGGTGCCCTCATACAGAGGGTACAGAAGAACAGAGACATTTGGGACTTAGAAAGCTAGGGAGGAAAGGGAGCTCCAGAGGGGACATGGTATGACAGGGAGGACCAGGAGCCCAGTTGCCAGGAGCAGGTGCTGGGCCATCTCCTCTAGTCATAGTGAAAGCATTTGCCCCCGTCCTCTCCCGTGAAGTGCTCTTCTCGACCTCCCTTGGCCTAAGTGTGCCGTACTTCCTGTCTTAAGTCTGACCTGTCATCCTCTGAGCACACAGGCCTTGCTGCCGCCTGGGCTTTCACACTCAGCTTCTGTTACCTGAACCGGACTCACTTACTACCTGTTGTAATGGCACTCCATGACCATGCCATTATCGTGACCCTCCCAGTGACTTCCCAGGTGGACCTTCTCCATGCCCACGCTTTTTCTTCTGAAGGCCTGGGGTGGCTGGAAACAGAAATGCTTCTGGTTTGATGGTACAGTGTGAATTCACACCATTGAGCCCCCGTCCCACGGCAGACTCAGCATTATTTGTCAGACATAGAGCCCACCATCTTCTGTTGCATCATTTTAATTTTTGGTCTTGGTTTCCTCCCAACAAAGGTTCCCAGTCCCAAGCGGAAGTTGGAAGAACCGGTTTTAGAGTTCAGGCCTCCCAGAGGAGCCATCACCCAGCCACTGAAGAAACTGAAAATCAACGTCTTCAAGGTTCACAAGTGTGCCGTGTGTGGCTTCACCACCGAGAACCTGCTGCAGTTCCACGAACACATCCCGCAGCACAAGTCGGACGGCTCCTCCTACCAGTGCCGGGAGTGCGGCCTCTGCTACACGTCCCACGTCTCCCTGTCCAGGCACCTCTTCATCGTGCACAAGCTGAAGGAGCCTCAGCCCGTGTCCAAGCAGAACGGGGCCGGGGAAGACAGCCAGCAGGAGAACAAGCCGAGCCCCGAGGACGAGGCTGCGGAGGGCGCAGCGTCAGACAGGAAGTGCAAAGTGTGCGCCAAGACTTTTGAAACGGAAGCTGCCTTAAACACACACATGAGGACACACGGCATGGCCTTCATCAAATCCAAAAGAATGAGTTCAGCTGAAAAATAGCCACAGAGCTTCCACGAGAAATACCCCAACCCTCATAGGAATTGAAAACAAGACTTTTTTTGTTACCAAAAGTTTGCAGTATAACAGAGTGAACGGTACTGTCTCGGCTGTCGCAATACGTTCTCTGTCCCGTCCCCTCACCTCTTCGGGTGGATCCCTCCCCATAAGTATTAAGGCAGTATTTGAGTTTTAAAGAGTTTGTATATATTTAAATAACTTTTTATACTCTTTGTTACATGTTTGTATCAGTATTTGGTGGAAAATGTTTTGAGGTTTTTTTTGTGTGTGTATGTGTGTTAGGATTTTCCTTTTTTGTAACTGTTTGTTTAAAACGGAGTTCTTAGTACCAGGGGCAGTTCCTGAATTCAAACCAACCATTTTGTATGTTATGAATTTGAATGAGTTGAGTAATTATAGGCTAACAAGCCTTTTTTAGTGTTTTTAATTTCTAGAACTCACCACATAAACTGTAGGTGATTGCGGGTCTCACACTAGCAACTTTTAAGTGTCTTAGCACCACACTCAGCGTGCCTGCTCCTAGCAACTGAGGGCTTCAAGGACAAGAGCACCCGGGGTGAGGGCCTGGCCTGAGCCATGCCAGACAGCTTCCAAAACAGCCTTGCAGACCCCTTCTTCCTCCAAAGTGGGTAGAGAGGCCAGGAACCCTGTAGGGCAAATGGGAGAGTGAAGAAGAAGGGATCCATAAAGGGGAGAAAATGGAGCTGGTGATTTTCTGGGTAAATTCACAGGATTCACTCACGGGGCTCAAGGAGACAGGCTCAAGGAAAAGGCCGGCCTGCAATCCAAGTTGGAAGTCGTAGTTAGACCTGTAGCTCTCTAGTCAGATTTTGTCATGGAACTCCCCAACTGTTACAGAGACACATACATAAGAGTATCATCTACTTCTCTGGCTCTTGACAGGAACAGAAAGGCACGGTTGACTTGACCCTTTGCTGTCCACACGGTTGGCGTTTCCTGTTCTGGGTGCTACTGCCAAATGTTCTGGTACTTAGATGCACAGCCTCCCCACTGACCTAGCAATGCAGCAGCCTGTACTCTGCAACTGGCCATGACAAAGCTCGGGCCACCCGGCTCCTAGAGTCACTTCAGCCCCCTCACGGCCGCCTGCCTGGAGCGCTGTCCAGGTGCTCTTTGGTCACTTCCCTGTAGAGTTCTCTGGGAAAGCGGTATATTTTGGTTGTTGTTGGGTGTTTTCTGTTGCATTTGAGATCTTGTATTTATCTACCGGTATGTTTTGTACTTCTTTGTTTGTTTGTTTCGTTTTTCCTAAGCGAAGAAATTAATTTGTGTACATAGATACTTGCATGCTAGACTGTAGTCAGCGTTCAGTTCTTGAAAGGTCTTGCTGCTGTTGGGTGTGTGCACTGCATCCATCGTGACTGTATCCAACCCATTTCACATGTAAATAGACAAGAAACATCGGGCTCTTGAGCTTCTTCAAGAGAGTTATTGGTGGGTCTTTGACATCATGAGATTTGGGAAGTGACTCATTACCAGGACAGGCTACAGAATCTCGCCGAATTCTTTTTGCTCTGAAGAACGGCTTACTCTTTCTCACCAGTGAGCAGCTGGCTACTCTGCCACTTTGTGTTGACTCCATCGGTACAATCCAAGGGTGTGAGAATACTCCTCAACTTGAAGTGTAATTGGTGTTACATGTTACATCTGTAATGCTCCCAGTTATGTTCATGGCACTTCCACATGTTCCTGCATTTGAACCTTGCAATAAGCCTGCGTGGGGTCACGCAGGTCCGCACAGCCTACAGTTGAGGAAGCTGAGCCCAGGCCCAGCTCCTCGCCTGAGCCCTCATAGCTGGTAAGTGGCTTTGCATATTAGAACCCAAATATTTTGCTCTCAACCTAGTACTCGCTCCTTGTGCTTATGTACACACTGACAAATACTCATTTATTCAATAAATAAAGTGATGTGCAAAGTACGCTAGTCAAACTTCTCTTAGGGGCACTAAGGCTTTTTAGAAACTTTTTCACTTCGAGGCTTGTGAGTGTCTGTGTGGGGGTGGCACATGGGTGGGTAGCAGCTGGTGGAGTTCCAGGTGGGTGCAAGCCAGTTACCCTGAGTGTCACTGGGAACCATACACATTTTCTCTGCACATGTAGTGGAAACTCTGAAGCACTACAAGCCATCTCTGCAGGCATGTACTACGGCTTTTATGAGATAGTGTGGAAGTGTTTCTTCTTCTAAATAACCAGAATCATTTGAATGAAGGTCTGTTAAGTACTTAGTTTTGAAGAATATAAGTTTAGCTTTTAAGAACGGCTCTTTAAAACACCCACAGGTTCAAAACAGAAATCGGGGGACTGGCGAGATGGCTCAGAAGTTAAGAGCACTGTCTGCTCTTCTAGAGGTCCTAAGTTCAAGTCCCAGCAACTACATAGTGGCTCACAACCATCTACCATGAGATCTGGTCTTGGTCTTCTGGCCTGCAGGTGTACATGCAGACTGAACAGGTGTGCATAATGAGTAAATAAAGTTATTGAAAAACAAAACAAACCTCACATCACAAAACCATCATCCAAGTGCTGTACCCTGCAGGAAAACCTGGCCAGTCAGTGCCCCTCAGTGAACTAAAGGACAGATCTTGAGGAAATTGCCCAGAATATAGCAGCAGTTAGTTGCTGAAGTTTGTGGCAGTCAGGGAAGAAGGATAAACTGAGAGGATCAAATGTTGGCTTGGTAGATATCCAGATAGGGGACTAGGTCCTGGAAAAGACAGAATGGAGCATTCTTCACCATTACCTCGTGCACACTGAGTTACCGCAGAGTGCTGGCCAAGAATCCATGTTGGCCACTCAGCCCACCCATCATTCATTAGTTACCAGATGCTAAGTGTATTTGAGAGGGAAGGTAAATTCTGAGTTTGGTTTTTGTTCTTTGTTTCTGTTTTTTTCCAGTGTCCACTGTGAGTTGACTGAGAGAGGTGTGGCTCTCTAACACCTGACCCAGTTTTCCCACTGGCACAAAAACTGAGAGGACGTGCAATTAAATGCGCTGGCTAGAAGTAACAGTCAGGAAAAGTAGTGTGTTCCCTAATTCACTGACCAAAACTAGCCATGTGGTCTCTAGAAAGGCAGGAAGAGCCACCTTCTCATGTGCTCAGAAGGCTGAAAAACCTGTAGGCAGCACAATGACCATGACAGGAATCATTGCTGGAGCTCTGTGCCAGCTCAGTACAAGGACTGGGCATGGGTGTGGCAATAGCTGGGCAGAGACTTCTGTTAGTTGTGAGCCAAATTTCCAAGTAGGGAGGAGAAGAAGCTGAATTAGGAAGTTCAAGTTTAGGTGATTTCAGTATTTTTCCTGGAGACCGGTTAAATATTAAGAGAAGAGCTTGAGTTTTAGATACATAGTTAAGGCAGACTGGTGAAACAAACCAGTAACAGCACCAACAATACCCAAGGAAGAATAGCAGTAAAATGATACCAGACAGGAGAAAGAAAAATGTAGGCTTGGTCGACATGGTCACAGTTTCAGCAGATTTTTCCCTTCCACAGTATGAAGTTTGAAGAAGATTCTATGCTTCCTGACATGGCTTTGGCGGCTTCTTTGGGCTTGTGTGGTCTCAGGATCTGACCAACAGTGAAACTTCTACTTGACAACTTGGGGCAGCTGGTATGAACATAAAATAATACTAATAGGCTCGTGCTGTGAGCACATAAAAAATTCCTGGAAGGGGAGATGATGTGCTGCAGAACTCACTATGACTTGTAGGTCTCATAACTCAAGTAGATGGTCTGGTAATATACAGTGGGCCAGAGGCATGGGGTTTCTTGAGCTGTGATGCAGGTTTTGAACCTCAGATCTTCTGGTAAAACGTTGGCTCCTCTTCAGGCAGAGTTCAACCCTCCTTCCCCCTTAAGTGACCTTTGACCCCCACTCTGAGCCTCACATCATTACAAGTCCATTGTAAGCATATGGGTATGACTGCGTAAGCTATAGATGCACAAAACTTGAGTAGGGATTAAAGCCACCACAAGAGAAAACCACTAGACCACAGAGGAAGACAGCTAGAGGGAGATAGTGAAGCATAGAAGCCTCAAGCCAGAAAACAAATGTCCTGCCATAACCTCAAGTTCTTAACTATCACTGCTGCTTTGTGTGCAAATGTTCTCCAAGGAAGCGGCTGCTGAGTGGCTTTTTTAAAAGCCCCACTTTATGCTGCCCATAGGAGAATCACCATTGCAGGCACACAAAGGCTGGAAGTGATAGCTGACCATGCAGGAGAAATGTGAGAGGGGTGAGGTACTGCAAGAAAATAGACTAAGTGGAAAACTAAAGAGACAGGGACCCTTCATAATGAAAAAGTCAGTTCCTCGACAGCTTGTACCAATTATAAATGTAAATGCACCCAACAGTGAGGCCCCTACATATATTAATAGGTTTGGTGGAAAAGATAATACAAACACAGCAGGGGACTTTAGTGCCCCTACAGTCAACAAGGGCCATTCCCAGACCAAGCGATTAGGGAGAGGTTGGATTTTAATTACACTTTGGACCAAATGGACCTAAAAAAAGATGGACGTCTACATTCCATCCATTCTTCATTCCATCCAGCACGAAGAGGAAACATCCTTTGCAAATATGCAGGAGCCATTCTCCAGCTACTATAGTAGCTCTAGAACAAGCGTGAACAAGTCTGAACAAGTTTAGCATCGAGTGTCCTTCCTGACCTCAACATAGACAGTAGTAGCCAGCATGTGTTGTACCCTGTAGGCTTATGATGGACCAAAGTATTATATCACCAGGTTTGTCCTGGAATTGTAGGACTCCCCTGCCCTAAGTAGCTATTTTTTCCTTGGGGAAATAGAACAGTGCTTCCCAGAAAAAAACATTCTTGTCCAGCTTCTAAAGTCCGCCTGTGAGACTAGCTCTGAGTCACGACGCTCGCTACCCTGTTTATGTTGCTCGAGATGTTTAGAGGAGCCGTGATCCAGCTTGCTGTCTCTGCAACAAGCTGCTTATCTCGGGGCTTTCCTCACAGACCTGGGGTGCACTGCCATGCCACATCGGTCTCTAGACACAAGCACAACCGCCACGTTTACATGACTACGTGGGGAAACGCTGTGTTTAGAGCCCCCCCTCCCCATGACAGACATTCCTCTCCGTTCCGGAAACTGTAGGCTTAGTTCGAGCTATTCTCTGTCATGTCATGTCCGGCTTAATCAGAGCAGTTATTTCTGAGGGTATCTACCGTGTGTGACTGAGAACAGGGCGGGTGCAGACATGCTGATTGGGTGAGATGGGTGAGAACCAGTTAGGCAGAGCTGCACTAGGGAGCCCGGATCTTGGCGGGAAGCGGATGTGATCTACTCCTGCGGCCCTCATCCTCCTGCTTTAAGTCTCCTGTAGAATGGGGGGTGGGTATTTTAACCATATTCCTGCTGGCGGCCGTGGCTGTGGTGGCTGCCCCTGTTTGTTCAGAGGGCAAGAGGCTGGCCAGCTTTAAGGGAGCCCCGGGCTGAGGCTGGAGAGACCGCTCAGTTGTTAAAAGAGAGTTTGCTCTCAGAGAGGACTTGAGTTTGGCTTCCAGCACCATATGTTGGGTGGCTTGAACACACCAGCTCCAGGGGACCTGACATGCTCTCCTGATCTCCATGGGCACCTGCGCTCCCATGCACATAGTCACACACACACACACACACACACACACACACACACACACACACACACAAACACACCACACAAGTAAGTATATTTAAAGTAAAGATATATTCTTAGTGGTATCTTCGGAGACATCTTGGATGCCCACACGGTGGCACACTGAAGCGTAAATTCTGCTGCCCTCTGAATAAGACACCCACCAGCCAACAGGCTGATGCTGGCTATTTTAGAAGAGACTCTTCAGGAGAACTGGAAATGAAATTGATCCCCGTCTCCTTCCCCCACATCCTGTCACTGGAAGGGACTCATCTCCCACTGCTTCCTCCCTGCTTTGCATACATTCCTTCCATTCCCATCCCACAAGCTTAATGCACTTCCACGGTTATTTTCAGGAAAGCTTTCCATATCTTTCTGTTTAGCTCAGAAGAGCTCTGCTACAGGAACCTTTGCCATTTCCCTTGCTAAAAATGCGAGCCTGCCAGAGGGCGGTTGTGTTGCACACACACTTGAAATCCCAGCCCTTGAGACAGGAGGATCATGAATACGAGGCTATTCTGGGCCATTTAGCAAGATCTTGTTTTGAAGAATGGATTTATGAATAAATGAATGAATGAATGAATGAATGAATGAACAAAACATGCCGGCCAGCTGCCCACACACCTGTTACACTAGCCTTCCTTCTTTGTGTTCTGTTATTTTTCTCCCCCACATCACCCCTGCCTGACACTAGCTGTCTGTTTGCTAACTGTCTGTCACAATCTGGATGAGCCCTCTCAGCCTTTCCACAGCTCTGCTTGCTCCCTCATACAAAGACCCATTTCCTCCCACGTCCCCACCCCAGAGCAGTGGAGACCAGCTACACTCTCTACCACAGTATTAACGTGTACTTTTGTCAGCAAGGATAGATCTTTGTTTTCCCCAACCCGCTGCCGAATACCGAGGCCTCCTGGCCTTTCTTTCATTTTGCACAGCCAGCTCTAGAAGGAAATGACCTTGGCATTCAGAACATCGGTCAGCTGATGGCTGCCACGTCAGGAAATGTTGCATGCCTGTTGGCAGGAAAGGAAGGCAATATTTATTTTCCTGTCCTAATTTTGTGCCCAGAGCTGTGTTTTGCATAAATCAGGGACCTAAAATATCCTTGTGAAACGACTGAACTCCCTTAAACTTTGACTAGTCATGATTTTATTTTCTTAGGGGTTGGGACAAACATTGGAAGGATCTTAAACTTTTAATTATCTAAAAATAAGGTTTTATTTGTTTGTTGAGACTATCTCTTGTACCTAGGCTGGCCTTGAACATCTGAGCCACTACCTCCATCTCCTCAGGGCTGGGATTCCAGACATCTCTTCAGGCCTAGTTTACATGCTGCTGGGAATTCAGCCCAGGGCGTCTTGTAGCCTCAGCTCCTGTCATTCTGGTTTTTGAGACATTTCTGTTTAATCCTTCACAAATATTCAAATTAGCTAAGCTCCCCTCCTCCTTTCAACACCCTCTTCACGTTTTGGTGTGGGGCACTGAACCTCACGACATCATTCTTACACAGAAGGCAAGCAGTCTGCCCTGGTCCCAGCCCCCTGCACACTTAAAAACAACAGCGACAAACACTAGGAAGGTGGTTAGCAACATAGAACCAGTCGGCATTGAAAACTAACGGTACTAAGATGCTTATGACTGAAGAGTTTAAATGTTTGTGTGTCCCGAGCTCTAACCTAAATCTACAGACGCCTGTGGGAGGCCAGCGATTTTTACAGATGGAGAAACTGAGCTGGCTTCTGACAGGCCTGGGTCACAGGCCTGTGTTCCCAGCTACTTGGGAGAACGAGGAAGGTGAACGGCACTCCAAGGGCAGCATGTGCACGGTGAAGCCTGACAACCGGAATCTGACCCCTGGAACCAGCAGAGGCGAGAACAGACTCTACCAAAGTTGCCTGCCGTCCTCCACATGTGTGCACACTCTGAATACACACCTCTCTCTCTCTCACACACACCCCTTTAGTTTCATTTTGTTTTTCAGACAGGACTTCACCAAGTAACCAGGGTGGCCTTGAACTCACAGATCCACCTGCCTCTGCCTGCCGGGTGCTGGCATTAAAAACATGCATCACCATGTCCAGATAGAAACACTCTACTTAATAAAAAAAGAAAAAAAAAAAAAAAAGGTAGGGATAATTGAAGACAGCTTCTGAGGCTGGTGAGAAGATTTCCCAGATAGGGTGTCCTGAGCGAACAAAGGAATCAAAGGAGGGACAGCGGAGAGAGTGTGCGCATGTCTATGTGTGTACATGGGTGCATCCTTTTGAGGCATGACCAGCAGCCCAGTGTGCTAGGAGATGCTCTCAACCTGTAGCAGAATGTGCGACAGGGTCACGTGAAGATGCAGCAGCTACCGTTTAAAGGCCGCCTTTCTGGAGTGGGACTGTAGCCCACACACTTGGTTTTCTTACAGCCTAATGAACAGTCAGCATCGCTTCCTTCCTGGGATGTGTGTTCTGAAAGTTCGTGCGTGGGTGGGCGCGCATCTGCCTGCAGCAAGAAGTCTTTCCCGTGGGCGTAGGCGGCACTCCCAGGCTGACGCTGCTTTCAGAGTCCAGTAAATCCGGTTCGAGTTGTATAGCTTTTCCTGACCGTCCCAGAGAAGCCCGGCTTTGCTCGCCATTAAGCCAATCGCTTTACAGGTTGGATTAATCATCATCCTCGGGCAAAACCCAGCCTTCGCCACTCCACGTCATCAACATGTTCTGGTTTTTAACCCAGAGAAACATTCGAGACCGTCTATCCAGCAAGAACCCGAGTCTTATTCTTGTGAGCCGGACATGTTAATCTGCATAACTAAAGGAAGCCAGGTGGCCACCGGCGCCCCTTCCGCCAGCGCCGGCTCTCTCGACAATAACAGATTGTTTATAAACTGGTTTCCATGGTTTATCTGTCCGCTTTGCAGGTGGCTGAGGAGATGCGGTTTGTCTCTTTGCTTGTTAAGGAGTGAGAGGAGCCACAGTTACCCCCAACACATTATAGACAAGGGCTTTATAAATATCAGGCTCTTTGTCTAAGAAGGGGAGGTCGGTCCTGACAGGTTGAGAAATGACCTTCGCTTGGCTAGCTTGCCTGCCCTTTATGTTACCCTTTGTTTCTCCTGCAAGAAACATTTCCCTCAAGTGCAAGCGAGATACTGAGGAATTCCTTTCTGATCTGAATTCACTGAAGCCCAAAGAATACGCTCTGAGAAGTAAGTAGGTTTCCATGTCCGGCTGGGTAGCAGAGCACAGAACAGTCAGCGGTACTTGCTAGAAGGATGCTAGACTAACCCAGGAGAATGTAAAACCGCACCAAGCAGAAAGGGAAGACAAAGCCGTGATGGGGGAAGGCTACAAAGCCAGCCTAGATGTGCTATTGTGACAAGAATTGTTCTTACGTACTGTGTACTTTTTTAATGAAATCAATGCCGCTTTCCTTTGTCTGATGCCTGGGTTTATTTCTTTTTTGAGACATTTGATCTGCTTTTGATAGTGAGATTCTAAGGTGTCTGATGGGAAGCCGCATGGGCTCAGGCGGAGCAGTGAGGCCTCCTTGTGTGGCTCCTTGTGTGGCCTCCTTGTGTGTGCTTTGTCTGGACTTCGGATAGTTGCAGTTTGGTTTTTGTGTGTTTCTCAAAATTATACACATACCTTTCTGCCAGAACAGAGGCTGAAATCAAATTAGTTTTCATGCTGCCTCTCCCAGAATGGGATTCATTGTTACTGCTGATGGCAATCTCAGGCAATAAAAATGTAAAAACTCTGAAAAGCCAGATAGGTTAACATAGCCATTTCCATTTCCATTTAGAATGCATGACCACTTTGTTCTGTATTTAAAACTACCTGTATCATAATAGAGAATAAAAACAGAATTGTGATAACTCAAAATCCCGTAACACTTGAAGCAAATCTTGTTCTGGAGAGCCTGGAATTTGATGAAATGGTGGCAAAATATAAACCCACTTTAATCAATAGATCATTCGTTTAAGTCCTATTTTGGAACTGATTGTGTTGCATAATCATACTTGGTGATAGCGGCAGAGGATGCTGCGACTGAGCCAGGCAACTGGCCAAGAGACTCCAGAAGGTGTGACAGGAGGCACAGCTTTGTGGTACGGACATGGCAGCACATGGTCACCAACAGTCACAGCCACGTGACCACTGTCGGCCCTGCAAGTTTCGCTACCCACGTGCTACCCATGTTCTGCCCGCAGCCCCTGGAACTGAAAATCTCCATTTTCATTAAAACAGAAATGTCTCAGGCAAAGGAGACAAGTCAGTTTTAAGGCCCTTTACCATGCAAGCAGGCACCTAAGTTTGATCCCCAGCACCCATGCAAGAAATGGGTGTGGTGGGGGGGGGTCTACTCTTGTACTCCCTCTGCTAGAGAGGCAAAGACTGGTAGATTCTTGGGGTCTGCTGGACTGAAAGTTTACCCTGGTCAGTGAGTCCCAGGCCAGTGAGAGACCTGTTCTCAAAACTAAGATGGCTGACTCGTGAGGGACAACACCAACGTTGACTTTTGGTCTCTATACTTAGGTATACACATCCACCTGAACCTGCTCACCCCCACGCACACAACAAGTTCTCCCAACTAAATGGTTCAAGACAGAACCGAGTAACCTATGTGAATGGATGGATGGCTGTCAGTTTGCTGCCCTGGATGGAGGTATCTCTCTCTGGTCGCTGTGTCTTGGCTCAGTTGCTCTGGTAGTTGTCTGAGACTTTAGAGCACAGATGTGCCATTGACCTTGGTTTTCATCAGGATTTTCCTGATGGACAAATGGGAACTTAAGAAGAGTGAAAAGTGAGTATTTGGGCATAAGTAATAGACACTTTTCAGAACCCTGTACAGGTACTGCTCCTTTGGGGCCCTTCAAAACCCCTCTTTATGGGAGGCGGTGTTATTGGCTTTTAGTTTGTGATGCAGGAAACAGAGTCATAGAGATGAAAAGGTTTTGTGTGAAATAAGTTGTAGAACTAGGGCTTGAGCCTATGTCATCTGACCCCAGAGCCCTTTCCCTGTCTCTGTCCACATATATATTCCTAAATACAGCCTTCTCAGTCTGCATGGTGTTACCTGTGTGTAGATTTTGAGGGCTGACCATTTGGTATTAGATAGCCGGTTGGTGTGCTTTTCCCTGGGGAAGACTATCCCCCTGTCGTGAGCACTCTCTGGTTGCCTGTAGTTCTTTTTGTACGGTTAAGACCACTTCAGCCTGTCTATTGGTAGCACCCTTTTTCATCTCATGTTTAGGCAGTCCTGTGGTTGAGAACTTACGGGTGTAGCTCCTGACAGTACCAGGAGACACAATCTCCTAGCAAACTCCCTAACCCTCGGGCTCTTACAGTCTTTCTGCCCTGCTTCCACAATGATCCCTGAGCTTTAGGTTTGGGAATCACATTGGAGATGTATCTATTGGGCCCAGGCTCCACAACTCTGCATTTTGATTAGTTTTGTGTGTGTGTGCTTTTCTCTTTTTCTTTCTTTCTTTCTTTCTTTCTTTCTTTCTTTCTTTCTTTCTTTCTTTCTTTCTTTTCTTCCTTCCTTCCTTCTTCCTTCCTTCCTTCTTCCTTTTGTAGTAGTCTCCTATTTCAAAGAGAGGTTCCTTGATGAAGGGTGAGAATTACACTTATCTGTGGGTATAAACACAAATATTTAGCATAGACTGTGTTGGTTTAGTAAGGTAGTGCTTTGTAGGTTCTCCTCCAATACCCATGACCCCCGAGCAGTCAGCTAGGTTTGCAGTTCTAGGTATGATTTCCCTCTTTCTGAGCAGGTCTTAAATCCAATTAGAGAGCTGTTGTTTGCTGCCAAGGTATGTATGCCACTACTGTACCCCGGGGGCGATCATGCCATGCTGGCTGTTATTGTGGCTCATAGGCATCATAGCTGGGTAGGACTGATTATTTTCCCCTCCCTTGGAAGATTGTATGGTGCCTTCCAGTACCGTGAAAGATAGTTTTCTGGGAGGAGGCTTTCAAATCACCAAATCTTTACTTTCGGTCATTGCCTAAAATAAGCAACCACAAAAGGAACAAGAAAAGACCAAGGCAAAATGCAGACGTAAAAAGAAATGAGAGGCACGTCTACCAATATGGGTCTAGCCAGAGAAAAGGCATCAAGAAGGAATAAACAACTGAAGTATCTGGTTATTTGTTTCAAGCAGAGTGATGGGAACACAGGTACTTCTGCTACTCTCTGCGCCTTTTATTGCATAGCCACTTTTTCAAACATCTTCTCTAATCCAAAGCACAGAGCTGGGAATGGGAATGTGTTGTGTGTGGCTGGATCACATGCCAGGGCCTGGGGGAAGAGCGTGGCAAGAGGGCCCTTGGAAGCTATGTGGAGGTGCCTGGCTAGTTTAGAACATGGAAAGTGGTGATGAGAGGGCGCACTCCTCTTCATTTCAGCAGCCTCGCGATGCCAGGCAAGCGCTCTACCTATGCTTGGGAGGCTATGTGCTTGGACTGTGTTAGAGACGGTAGCAATCGCTGCTGTGCTGCCACACTGGCCTCCTCACCTCCATGGTCGGGTCCATCACCTTGGGAGGCAGACTCAGCATGCTAGAAAGGAACTCAGCCGTTGTCACAAGTCAGGACCTGTCTCATGGACTGGACTGAAGGAACTGACGGAGCCATCGTTAAGAATACAAATTAAACTTAATGTGCTGTCTACAGCCAACACATTTTCAATATCGAAACAAAGAGAGAAAAGTGAGAAATACTCTTGTGATCAATCTGTTACCAGATTCACATGGGTTGCCCAAGTCGTAAGCAAATCATACGGTTTTGACACGTGGCTGTCCTTGATGTAGCAATCTGCAGAACTGTGGGGAAGAGTATGCCCGCCGGACGGGCGCTGTGTGGCACCGGCTGGTGAAGGCACCGTGTGGCATTTGCTATGGCAGCCCTTGCAGACCAGACACGTGCCGCATGTCCTTTGTATCAGAATAAATTATATTGTGCCTGCTTGTAAGATGTAGGTTGAATTGTGTCTTCACCAAAAATACATTTATAGTCCAGGGAGCTGGCTTAGTCAGGAAAGTGCTTTGCTTGTGAGCGCCTATGTTTATGCTTATAAGCCCAGGGCTGGGAAGTCCAAGAGAGAGATCCCTGGCCGGGGTTCACTGTCCAGCTAGGCCAGTCTATCTTTGTCTTAAACAAGGTGGACAGTGCCTGAGGTTGTCCTCTCGCATGTCCTACACACAGACATGTGAATGCTTTCACACACATGTGCACCTGAACACACATGAACATGCATGCACAAAAATGCCCTTGCTTACACTTTGTGACATGCATAACATTGAGTCTATGCTGTTGTAAACAGTCAAATAATGTAACAGTTAAACAGTGATACTAGGTTAGAATGGGTCCTGAGGTGATGATCCTTGTCCTTAAAAGAGGGAATCTGAACCCAGACACACACACAGGGAAGAGCACCATAGATGGTAGCAGTGCCAGCAACTAGTTGGCAGAGGGCTGGAACAGACTCTGATATGAGCTGACCCGGTGCCTGCTTCAGATTCTAGGAGCAGAGAATGGGTTTCTGAGCTTCAAGCTACTCTGGGTGTGGATTGTCAAGAAGGCTATAGAACACAAAGACAGAAGCTCATACAGACTACTTTGAGCTCCCAGACATGCTCTGCAGAATTAGATCCATGTGTTTTTCACCTGGAGTAGAAAATCAGAAGCCCATATATCTCTGGTGAGGAACCCAGGGCCTGAGATATAGTGGTATGTTTTCAGCCATCTCTCAAAGTCCGAGCTGGCCCATGTCCACAGCTGAGGCCTTGAGCAAAAGCTACACCACATCCACTCCCCAGGACTTCCGGCTCTGCCTCCGTTTCACTTCTCTAGATTGAGTGGGGGTAGGGAGTGGAGAGCCAGGAGTTCCCAAGCAATCTGCAGTGCTTTTCACATCTGACCTCTGATCATATCATATCATCCTCACAGCATTCCCAAACAGTTTTCCTCTAAAAAAATTTTTTTTTAACCTTGCACATCCCTGGCCTCTGCCTCAAGTCTCTTAGCTCATACTATGACAGGATGTCTAGTTTCCCGTTTTGATTGCACAGTGTCCCTGGCTTTGCCATTTATTTCCTGTGGTCATTGTTTTACCTTGTCTGTTTTACCTTGCCTCAACTCTTTCCTCAACACCAAGGCCCACAGGGAACCCTTATCAGAAGAGGCAGTTCACCGTGGACACTCCTCAGGGCAACACCAACCTGAGCTAGGATGTGGGTATCTTTTGGGAAGAAGCCTGTTGTAGTCTACCGCCGCGTGGATGTTTTTGTTGTTATATTGCTTGAATGTGTGTGTGTGTGTGTGTGTGTGTGTGTGTGTGTGTGTGTGTGTGT